TAGCGAGATGACAATATTTAGATTGCACAATCACATTGAAAGCCAGATCGTATCACAGTGTTCAGAAAGCAGCGTTGCACCAATATGACACCAATGGAGAATCGTAGCACTGAAAAACAATGTTAATGAGAGCTTGCTCTCGCCACCACCAACATATGTATCCAGTCCCTATCTCCCTACTTGGCGCTCGGCGCCCAGCCTACTCCCTACACAACTACTACTAACCTACTAATTGACAATGCAACTGTTGACGTCAGCAGCCTCCGAAGTACTTGAAGATGTCGCCCATGCAGACCATCGCCAATACCAGGTATGTGCCCTCACATCATCATCATCATCCTTCTCTCTCTCTCTCTCACAATGACTCAACCGGTTTTTGATTGAATAACTATAAAAAGATAGGATAAACTGTCGTGTTTCTATCAGAAGAAAAATCAAAGTTAACAACAAAAAGCTAGTAAACATCAGAAAGATGGGTATCAGCATAGAAAGATGTATTGATGTACCAAATTGGCTAATACTAGACTCGTCTTACTCCCACGTCTTCCCTCTTGAAACCTGAAGACCACCCCTGCGCCTCATTGTACATCCAAGCCCGCCAGCTATGGAGACTGGGTTATGGCGTTGCCCTCAGCAGCGTCCTCCTCCTTGCACGATCGCGCGTGCTTGCACTTCACCTCTCAGCGTTAGCAGCAGCCCACGAGCTTCAGCTCCAGCAGCACTGCCGCCAGCATGCGAGTGCCCGAATGAATGGCCAGACAGCGAGCTCTTTCCTATATGGAAAGAGCCTGCCTCATTCGGCAGTTTGGTTGGACTGGCCTGGGCCCAGAAGTTTCCGGTAGGCCCCAGGATGCTGCGCCTCTGGTGCAGCTACTGGGCCTCATTCGGTTGGGCCTCCCAATTGTTTGTGTATGAGGCTGCCATTCTCGTCCAGGGCCTGTATCATTTTGGAAAGGCCTGGAAGGCCGTCGAAAGTCTTGCTGCTCGGCCTGTGTTTTCCTCAACCAACTGGCGCGACGAAACTGCCTGGACCCCAAATACGAAATTGAAGGCCGAGGGCCTTTCGTGATTTGTTAGGCCCGCCTTCACTTAGGGCGGGCACAAATGCTACAGGGGGCCCTTGGGCCTGCCGAGGACCTTGATCCTTGCATTCCTTCCTCCTTTACTTCGATAGTCCTCTGAGAAGTCTTCTATACTGCAGGCATCTTTGCTTTGAGATCTCTTCCGTAGCCTGCAATGACTTGAGGTGTAGTTTCCACGAGTTCTTCTCTGGTGAACCACCGATCTTCACTGGGGTCCAGATGAGATAGGGAGACTTTACGTTCACCCATAAGAGCCTGAGTCAATCAATTTAATATGTAAATAGCGGATATGGATTAAAGGTAAATTGTCTGCCTTCCAAGCAGGGGATATGGGTTCGATTCCCGTTATCCGCAATTGCCGTTTGATGAAAAAAAAACTGAGATAAATAAAATGCACGTCTGAATCTGACCCGGTACTGCATTTTTGGCTTAGGAGGGCGGCCTCTGCCTGGTGGTCGAGGAACAAGCATCAAACGATGCTCCACGATCTGGTCGATGTCCACTTCGTCATCCATGGTTGGGGGCAGCATTGACCGTCTGGAAGGGAATTGTGCAGACTCTGCTCCCAAGGACCAAAGTACTGTGGCATTAACTTTCTAGAAATTCACAGTTCCTGTCCCAACTCAGATGATTTAACCCAAACTCGTTCTCCTACCTGAAATTGAGACGGCCGTCTGTGCTTATTCTCAGATGCCACCATGACATCTTGAGCTTTTCTAATATGCTCTACTGCCTGTTGCAACATCTGATCATACTTTACAACAAACTCTATGCTGCCTGGTGCTGCAGATGGTTGACTCTCAGGTAGTAGAAAATCTAAGGCGGTTCTAGGCCTCCAACCAAAATGCAATTGGTTGGGGGTCAGGCCAGTCGTGCTGTGTACAACATTGTTATACAGGTTGGCGACAAGAGGCAGTTCCTCGTCCCAGTCATCCTGACTTGGCTTAATATAGTGCCTTAGTAGATGCTGCACTACTCTGTTCATCTGTTCCGCCTGTCCATTTGACTCGAGGTGATTCCCTGATGTCATTTGCAGTCTGGTTCCCATTTGTTGGGCAGTGTTCTGCCACAATGCGGTCGTAAAGCGAACATCCCTATCGCTGATGATAGACTTAGGTAAACCAAAGTCCCGTACCCAGTTGTCCATGAACAATTTGATGACATTGTCGGTTTTAGCAGTCTCAGGCATAGCGATCAGTCTTGCATACTTAGAAAAGCGGTCTACTATAACGGAGATGTGTCTTTTTCCAGACGTGCTGGTCACAAGAGTATCCATGAAGTCCATGGAGACACTCGGACCAGGACCTTCAGGAATCGGCAAGGGCTTGATGAGCCCAAGCGGAGCCTGAGTTCTAGGTTTGTCATGTTGACAGACCTGACAGGTTTTAACATACTTCTTGGCATCTTCCATCATAGAAGGCCAACAAAATTTCTGCACTAAGTTAGCTGAAGTTTCTTTATAACCGAAATGACCAGTTGCATCGTGACATTCCCCTAAAAATAGACTACGCAAAGACTCACTACTGGGTACACACAGTCTTTTATTCCTTGCCTTCTCAAGAAACAACAATCCGTCTACCATTGAAATTCATCCAAAGTTACTTTGTCCTTCGCTTGGAATTTACGGATGATCTCAGACATAACTGGATCTTGCTGATAGGCTTCCGCCAATGATCGAGTTTAGCTCGTTAGATATGCTAAATTTAGTAACTATCACGCCCAGATACTCTGCCCGACGAGATAATGCATCAGCCACTTTGTTGTACTCTCCCTTGATTGGGTCAAGTTGATAGTCATACATGTTTATCACTTGTATCCATCGCTTGAGTGCATCAGAGAGCACAAGCTGTGTCTTGATCCAAGGCAAGGTCTCATGGTCAGATCTCACATAGAAGAATCTGCCTAGGAGATAATGTCTCCAATTGACCAGCGCTCTATATAGGGCATAGAGCTCACACTCATACGTGGACTTCGCTAGCTTTTGAGATGACATCTTCTTGCTCGTATACTCGATTGGTCTTAATTATGGCCTCTCCTTTTGCGCAAGGACCGCGCCTATGCCATATTGGCTGGCGTCTGTGGTCACAACAAAGGGTTTATCAGGATCAAGAAGTTTGAGGACTTCATAGTGGGTCAGAGCATACTTCTGTTTCGTGAAGGCCGCCTCAAACTCTTCAGCCCACTCCCAAGGGGTGTCAAGTCGAGTTAGATCTGTTAATGGGGAAGCTATAGTACTATAGTTCTTAACAAACGGACGATAGTAGCCCGTCATCCCCCAAAATGATTTGACCTCAGTAACAGTCTGAGGTCTGGGCCAGTCACGAATGCTGGCCACCTTAGCATCATCTGACCTCAATCCATCCGCTGAGATTTCATGACCCAAGTACAAGATCTTGGTGCGACCAAACTCGCATTTCTCCAAATTAACCTTGTACTGGTGCTGTCTTAGGAGACCTAGCACTATTTTCAAGTGCTCATCGTGCTCCTCTACTGTCCTACTAAAGATAAGAATATCGTCGAGATACACTACGATAAACTTGTCTAAGTATTCATGAAATATCCTGTTCATCGCGTGCTGGAATGTACCAGTGCATTGCATAGGTCAAAGGGCATCACCACAAACTCGTACAGACCGTACCTGGTATGAAATGCGGTTTTGTGCTGGTCCTCAGGTCTAATGGCAATTCGATGGTATCCGGACTTCAAATCTATCTTGGTGAAGTACCGACATCCTTGCACTCTATCCAGGACGTCGTTGATGCGGGGTAAGGGCTCCACGTTCTTAACGGTGATGGCATTGAGGCCTCTATAGTCAATGCACATCCTCATGGTACCTCCCTTCTTTGGGACAAATAAGACTGGCGCACTGTAAGGGGAGGTACTAAGGCCGAATCCATCTCTTTTCTGCGAGCTCCTTCAGCTGACTCCGCAGGAGACATCCTATAGATTCATCCTCTAGGCACCTTGCTTCCTGGGACAACCTCTATTGCATGGACACCTCCCTTTCTGCCACACCTGTGGGCTCCTAAAAAAGGTCGGAATATGTTGCGACGGCTAATTCTATCTTTTGGGGTGTTTTTACGGCCTCCCCTTTTTCAAAGATAAAGACTAGATACATGCCCTCCTCGCGATTCTGCTTATAGTAAAGGAAAGAGGAGGCACATATGCAGTCGTAGTTTTCCACTGAACTGCTAGCTTTATACTTTTGCAGTCTAACGGTCCTACCGTTTGGCAGCTTGTGTATCAACACCTTCCTATCCCAATCAAACTGAGGCTGAGCAACCTCGAGGTAGTACATGCCTAGTAACATGTTGAAGGGCAGTTCATTGCTAACGAGGAATGAGATTTTGTGTCTCACTTCCTCTCCTCCATAAGAGAAGGAACAGACTACGTCCTTGACATAGTCCTTTACTACCATTTGGTGCTTGTTGGCTAGCGTAGAAGCTACAGTTCTGCTAAGCCGCTGCACTTGGTCCCCTAAGTGCAATTTATCCACACAAGCACGACTGATGAAGTTTCGTGTAGAGCCTATGTATGCGAAGGCGCTCACCTTGCGGCCACCTACATCAACCTCTACCACGAAGTGTTTACCTTTTGGACCTCTACTAATTATTGCCCAAGAGTCTCTGGGGTCCTTCCCTGACCACTCAGTCTCTAACTCTTTTAGGGCCTCTGATACATCTCTCGAACAGAGCCTCGGTGGGTCTGAATGTGTGTGCGGGGCGATACGTGGATCACTAGCCCTAGCTAACGCCTGAAGTGGGGAAGGCAACGTTACCACTTCAGTGCGAGTAAGAGCGGCTAAAACTCCTACTGGCCTGAGGTGTTTCCCCTGCGAAGTGCCCGCAGAAGCACCACCAGGGTTCGAAGATAGTCCCACCACCGTTGGAGAGGCTGCCCTCGTTAGGACTTTCTTACCTCGACACGTTCTGGATGTGTGGCCATAGTTGCCACAGTTCATGCACGTACCCCTAGCAACTCGGTCCCTCAAGACCTCATACTCTAAACCAAGTTTCACCCAGGTGGGCGTACCTTGGTTGCCCTGACCCGTGGACCGTACTACCTTCTTTTTCCCGGTCCCCCTAGCCTTTTCTTTGATGGGTGCCACGACTCCCCCATTCGAAGTCTCACTGGCCCCATCATGCTCTGTCTCATCCCCAAGATCTGGGAACTCGTCAATCTTCGTTGTTTGACCATCGTGGTCAACAAACATTAACTGACCCTTCTTCTTCCAGTCCCGGGGAAGTCTCTTCTTCCTACCATCTCCTTGACTCTGATGCACGGAACCCAGTTTTGCCTCTATATCTAAGGCCTTCTTGTTGAAGGAGGTGAAGTTGTGCTGCTCGACATAGGCCTCATCCACCAGCTTTGTCCTAACGTCTGAAGGCAGACATCTTAGGTAATCCATAAGGAGAACCTGCTGGTCATAACGCACACCAGGTACCACGAGCAAACGTTCTACGGTATCCGTGAGCTCTCGAACATTCTTGTACATTCTGGCACAAAGACTGTTGATTGCGTCTGTGGCCTTTTGAGCCCCTTGAGGGTCATGCCACCTATTGTACACGGATCGTACGAACTCTTCCACTGTCTAGGCCTGGGCCCATGCATCGAAGTTCTGCCCGTAGCCCTGTTGCTGCAGTAGGCCTTTCAACTAGCGAGTTGCTGACCCCTCTAAAAAGGAGGCAGCCACTACAACTTCTTGCTCCGCCCTGGTAAGCTCGTGCCTCACATAGGTAGGCACCGTCCTCACCCAGGTATCCAAGTCCTCATTCTTCTTCCTGTCGCCGGAGAAGGGTTTAGGACTCAGCAAGGGTATTTTGGGCATCCACTGCATAGGCTGCATTGGCCCAGGAGATTGCTGCAATGGCTACATAGCCACCAAAACAGGTTGCTGCATACTATAACCTGAGCCTGACTTGACAGTGGGACTGTAATAACCACTGTCGTGGATGGTACGACAAAAGTTCTAAGAACCGGACCACTACTCGCTACATAACCACCTGGAGGGGGCATGCCAAACATAGGTGAGAATGAGGGCCCAGACGGTGACGGCGTCATCGATGGACCCGCAACCGATGGGGGGAGCTACAACATAATGAGGCTGCCTCATCATGGGACGAGGAGCCTGCAGTGCAGCCAGAATCTGCTTCTGTCCTGCCACGAGTTCAACCAACACTTCTTGCTAATCAGCCTGCGCTTCAGCCACGGAACGGAGCGCTCGCATTGCAGGGTCAAGTGTTGACTCATCTAATGCTTCTAATATGCCTAGCTCTTGTCTTCTACTCCCTAGTCTGTTTTTTCTCAAAATAACTTTTCTTCTCCTCTCTGCTGCCTCATCCAATTGCCACTGTAGCTCATCCTGAAGTTTTTCTGCTTGGAGGATCTCATAATCCTCCGGCGTGAGTTGAGCCTGTTGGCTGACTTGCAAACCAAAACTCTGGCTAACGGAAGCTTGAGAACCACTCTGACTGACTCCTGACGAAGTGGCCTGTGTAGAGGCATGCGACCTGGTAGAGGCGGTAGCCATGGTCGTACCGGTACTAGCTGTAGTTCTAGACCTGGCGCTGGCCTCAACCACCCTCACTCTTCTTGCCGCTGTTCTCTCTCTAGCCTCTCTCCGCAATCTTAATCTCCTCTCGTGGACCTAATTCTAGGAAAGTCAAGGGTCGATTGAGAGCAGTTCTTCGAGTGACCCTAAGGTCATCCACTAACAACTCCTCCTCACTACTGCTTGCATCACTCATGAGATACAATGTGTGTGATCTAAACTAGAATCCACACTGAATCCTACCTCAACATGACACACAACCGATTTATGATACACAACTAACTTCGTTCGGCCTGGATAAAAACAGTTAGGTGGTTAGGTCTCAACCAATGTCAGATCCTACAGGGAATGTTAAATCTATTTTTAGATTACTTTGATACAGATTGCATTGTAACAAAGAATATACTACTCTATCTGCAACTGTCTGTCAGCTGTTAGTCAAGCCCGTAACAACTAGATAATCAAAAATAAAATTAATGTTCCCTGCAGAGATGTATGTTGAATGGCCGTTTATCTAATTTATGCCACAGCGAACAGTTGTCGGAATCCCCTCTTTCCCTGTATCCTTCTTGAGTTGTTACTTTGTGTCAACGCCCTAAGCATCTGGTTGAGCAGCGTGTCTGAAGGTGTGCAATCCGACCCACCCCTGTGCCCCAAGTCAACGCCGAACCTGCCAGCCCCTGCACATTATTTACCCTCGCATGCAACGAGCTGACACTCGGTTTGATCTGGCTGATCAGGAGGCATTTAAGGAGATCCCCCGTAACTCCTCAGGAATTATTTAACGTCGTAGACAGGACGACGATCACAACCAGAATCAACACCGAGTCCCCGCTAGAAATGTTTAAAGACGGTCTGGAAAGCGTTTGTTCAAAGGGCTGGCATGCCCTGCATGACCTCTATTGTGCAGCAGTAGAACCAAGGACTTGCGGCAAAGCCTGCGTGTACTAGTCCCAACGGGTTGGCATGGTGACCCTAACCCGAGTGCTTCATCCAGGGCCCTTCAGAGGCATCGCCCGTCTCCCACCAGCTTGCTGCCCAGGAAGAATGTCGGCTCTCAAGGTTGAGCGCTTGCGACACCTCACATCAAGAGGACTCTCAAGACATAACTCACTTCCTCACGGTAAGAAGCAATGAAGAGAGTAGATAAGGAAGGAAGCAACGCACCTCATAATGCTGCCCTCAACCACAAATTTCTCACCGGCAACCTGATGTGCATTTATGATGACCGGTCTTTGCCTCGACACAACCAACAGCAGAATGGAGTTCCACCTCGGCTTAAATGCGACATCAACGAGCTCTCATCATCCTGCGTACACCCCTAATGTCACCACATAGCTTCCTGGCGCGTCCACACGACCCTGGGCCACCTTACGTTCAACGCCCAAGCCTTATCACCGCCCCACACCTCATGCGAAGCACCAAACAACTATTGCGAAGAACCAATTAGCGCAGTTCTAACCAGCTTTGATACCAAATTGCAAGGAAAATGAGCAATAGGGAGATGACAATAATCAGATTGCACAATCATATTGAAAGCCAGATCGTATCACAGTGTTCAGAAAGCAACATTGCACCAATATGACACCAATGGAGAATCGTGGCACTGAAAACCAATGTTAATGAGAGCTTGCTCTCGCCACCACCAACATATGTATCCAGTCCCTATCTCCCTACTTGGCGCTCGACGCCCAGCCTACTCCCTACACAGCTACTACTAACCTACTAATTGACAATGCAACTGTTGACATCAACAGCCTCCGAAGTACGTGAAGACGTCGCCCATGCAGACCATCGCCAATATCAGGTATGCGCTTTCACATCATCATCATCATCCTTCTCTCTCTCTCTCCCTCGTCTTACTCCCACGTCTTCCCTCTTGAAACCCGAAGACCACCCCAGCGCCTCACTGTACATCCAAGCCCGCCAACTATGGAGGCTGGGCTATGGTGCTGCCCTCAGCAGCGCCCTCCTCCTTGCATGACCGTACTTGCTTGCACTTCGCCTCTCAGCGCTAGCAGCAGCCCACGAGCTTCCGCTCCAGCAGCGGATGGCCAGGCAGCGAGCTCTTTCCTATATGGAAAGAGCCTGCCTCATTCGACAGTCTGGCTGGACTGGCCTGGGCCCTTAAGCTTTCGGTAGGCCCCAGGATGCTGCGCCTCTCTTGCAACTACTGGGCCTCATTCGGTTGGGCCTCCCAACTGTCTGTGTATGAGGCCGCCATTCTCGTCCAGGGCCTGTATCATTTTGGAAAGGCCTGGAAGGCCATCGAAAGTCTTGCTGCTCGGCCTGTGTTTTCCTCAACCAACTGGCGTGACGAAACTGCCTGGACCCCAAATACGAAATTGAAGGCCGAGGGCCCTTCGCGATTTGTTAGGCCCGCCTTCACTTAGGGTGGACAAAATGGGGGGACGCAGATCCTCGCATTCGGATTCTTTTTTATTTGTTTCCAAAGGTGTATTCTCGAATGAATTTCGATTAACTTTAAACCACTAGTACCTCCGAGCCTGTTTTTGCCGACCCTGAATTTCACTGCGTTCCGAGTTTGCCGAGCTTGGGTACCACTCCGTTTTCTTTCTGGTACTCTCACAGAAAGAACAAAAAAAGAGAAAAAGAAGAAACGTTGCGGCCGTGAACTCACAAAAAAGGAAAAAAAAAACAAAACGAAACAAAGCTTTGGCCGTGATTGCAGTTGTATACATTCTTGGAAGTGGTAGTGTGAGTGTGCCCTGAGTGCGTGCATCTCAGCCCCAGGCTAGGTTGTCAGATTCAAAAAAAAGAATAGAAGGGGGAAAAAACGGGCACACGGATCCGACTCGGAAAATGGCTGGATACATTCCCCTTAGTACCAGTGTGATGAGTGTTACAATCCTCTGACAAAACACAGCTTGAGCAGATCATGGACGGCTTGAGCAATTCACGGATTCCCCCCTGCCTCATTGGCAGGGGACTTATAAGAAACACGAGCAAAAAAAAAAGAAAACAGTAACATCCAGAATGTGACCGCCTTACCGGTGAGGTGCATTCTGTGGAGGAAGACTCTGAGCACGGCCTCCTAGACTACCCTGCCCAACATCATTGCAGTAGAGAGTTTTTTTTTTTTTTTCGTTTTTCTTTCACTCGCGGGCAATATAAAAATCTGATTTATGGGACAGTGCCGACCCTGTGTCCCACCCCCGATAACTTCGGGAACTGGCAAAACATCGTAATTTCCCAACACTGGCGGAGGTACTAGTGGTTCAATAAATTCGAATCGGAATTAATTTATTTTAATTCTTGTTTTGCAAAATTCTTCTTTGAATTGATGTTGTTCTACCCTTGTAAATAGGAACCCCCCCGGGCATGACACGCACAATCAGGAACTCTCAAGACGCTGCCGCCGCCGCCGCCGCTGCTGTCATTGCTAACGCTGCTGCAACTGCAGTTGCCTCCACCTCATCTGCTGCTACCACCTCGGCTGCCGCTGCTACCTCATCCGCCACTTCCTCCCCACCATGGAATCCGGCATTGACATGTCCGCCATCCACACCGACTCCGTTGACAGCAACGCCTGCAATCTCACAGGCGACCAACCGGCCGCAACCCCCGCCGCACCCGACTTTGCGGCCCTACTCCAAATGATGAAATCCCTCCAATCGTCCATCTCCCTCGTAAACACCTCCATCACCGACATAAAGACCGCCATCTCTACTATCTCTAACCGCGTCACTGCCATTGAAGGAAACATCCCCGCCATCATGGTCGTCACAACAATCTCTCCCCAAACTACATCCACACCACTTCCCTCCCCGTCCACATCCACTGCCCCCCCCGCCAGCACATCATCCACACCCCTGCCTGCATCCACCACCACCTCCACCACGGTCACCCCATCGCACAAGATGACAACCCTCACCGTCACGCAGTCGTCAACCATCCCCCCTCAGTCAAAACCTCTCATGACTTCATCCACTACCACTTCCATCCTCCCCACATATACCCAGATCACTTCCACACCGCAAGCACTGCTCCCCGTTCTCCCAATACTTCCTCCGTCCGCACTCCTCCCGACCAACCCCACCATCGATCACACCCGGGTACCGTCCTCCTCACCCAAGCTTGATTTCAACACCATTGCCACCACAACACCCTTAACGGGCCACATCCCCCCATCCTTCCGATCCATGGACATTCCCCTTTTCACCGACCTTCCCCACGAGGACGTCTTCGTCTTCCTCAGCAAACTCTACGACGGCTTCTCCCTACACATCGTCCCTGTCACACACTGGCTCCTTATTGCCAGCACCAGATTACAGGAGGGCGCCGCTAGTTGGTGGTACACCGAACGCCAACAAGCAAACGCAGAACCCCATTCCTTCCTCGAGTGGGCCAACTCCCGCAAGGACCTCGCCACCTCCCTCGCCCACGACTCCCTGATGTCCCTCTCCGATCTCTTCAACCGCACCATTCACCTAGACAAATTTCTCACCCCGTACAAAGACGCACTCACATCGACCCCCCCCCCGCTGTCGGAGGGAACAGAGTTCCGACCCTCCTCTGTGTGCCAGGCGCCTGCTCAGGGACCTTTGCGGTGCATCATATTTCCTCCTTGGGGGAGGCCCTGTCACATACCAGGCTTACCCGAACTGAGCTCTGCTGAAGGAATCGGTCAGGTTGGCTTTGCCAATAGCAAGGGGGTAGGTGCGTAGCAGGGCCTTTCATTGGTCCATGCAGGCTCGGCGCTCTGCTGTACCGCAGAGCACTACCGGCCTGTGGCCGTGGTAACCGCCGGGCTTGTCCAGGGACGCGAAAGTAGAGGGATCGACGCAGTCTTTCGTACTGGCTAGGTTGTGGGATTAGATGCACCGGCTGCCTATCACAGTCAAATAGAGAAGAAATAAAGAAAGAAAAAGAAAAGGGAAATGGGAAAAATGGGAGGGGCTGCATGGCAGACCCGCGCCTTGATTTGGGTCGTCATTTTTCTTCAGGGCCGGTTTAGTGGTACGGGCGATACTGACGCTGTGCTCTCCCTTTTTCCTCCCTTTTCCTTTTTTTTGTTTATTAATATTATTATTACTATTATTAATATTATTATTATTACCTTTTTCTCAGGTCTTTCTGGCCTGTCATTGCGCGCGAAGGCCAACGGTTCGAATTTTGAGCTCAGTTGTGGTCTGTGACCTAGGCCGGCCCGACCCTTCGTGTGTCGCTTGTGGCTGATCTGTCCAGCCGAGCGCCGCTCAGTGGGACCCCAAAAGAGGGGCAACCCGCGGTCGCTTTGGTAGGAGGCTTATCACCCCCCTGTGGAAGGTCATAAACCCCCTCCTTGCCATCGGATACGGGCACCCAATAGGAGTGGACCGACAGCGTGTTTTGAGGAGAAGGGTGCGCCCATCGGTATCCCGTTATGGGACCATGCTTTCAACCTGTAGTCACGTCACGAGGATCGGTGATCGACAGTAGCGTAGGGGGTTCAGTTCGTGCTTCGACTCTTGGGTTTCGGCTTTCGAATCATTTGGATTTATTCTATCTTATTATTTCTTTTCGTAACTCTGAATTATTAGTGAAGGATCAAGAAGGTGGCTACTTGAAGTCTTCGTTTAGAGCGTGGGAATCGTAGCGAGTGGCGATCCTATAAAGAGAAAACGTGGAGAAGGGGGTGAGTCATGGGCTATTGTTTCTTTCGGCGAAGGGCCAGACACGTCCCCCACTCTCAGAATCGGAACACTACTAGTGGCCAAGCTGCTTAGTGGTAATCCGCCTGCACTGGAGGCTCGAGCACAAGCGGAGCGTAGTGTGGTGTGCTATTCGAGGTTGGCAGGCTGGCGCTGTGCGAAGCCCAGCTATGGCGCGAAGCAACGGTCTTTTTGGATATAGGCCAGGGCATCTGAGATTCTACTGGAGCTGGGAGCCCATGTGCGAAGAGGGAGCTACGGTGGACGCCTGTCTGAGTTACAGCAAGAGTGACGGGCTGGCTAGACTGAAGATCAACATTTACGGCGGGAAGGAGCAGGAAATGAGGGAAGATGAAAAAGTCCAGGGTGTGGTCACCGAGGCTCGTAACAGAGGCGAACGGAGATGCAGACGAGATGGGGTGATTGTGACATTACGAGTTACTGTTACTTACCATGGGGAAGAAACTTCCACGAGCACGACGGAGAGGGAGGAACAGGAACTAGACCGGGACTCGGAGGTGGAGTTCGAAGCGAGCGACACCCTGACTCAGTCCTGGCATGGGCTGGAACAGTGGAGAAGGGAACATCCGCCGGCTGAGTCGGTAGAGGACGGCCCAGAGGCCAGCTCGGCCCAAGAAAGAGATTGAGACCGTGAGGCAATGGCGGGCGATCGGAGCGAAGGTGCGAAATACAGAAGAGAGAGGAACGCGCGGGGACAAGGGGGAGTCAGTTCCAAGTGAGTCACGACGGTGACACGCGCGTACTCAGAGGATGTGTCAAAAAGTGAGCGCACAGGCGAGGGTTGACGTTAATAACTTCTCCGCCCTATTTGCACATGACGGAGGCCATTTGGCCTGCCAGAGAGTTAGATTGGGGAGAGGGTGTTGAGGTTGAGGCCATGGGCCGCGAGGGCGCGATGGAAGTCGGACGAGACGCACGCCAGAGTGCAAGTGTGTAGGGAATGCTGAAAAGAGGTTAGCATGGGTATATAGATGACATACCGGCTTGATCGCGGTTGACGGTTGACGCTGACCAATGCTCTACCCTTTTTTTTTTGGGAGTGATGACTAGCCATGAATGCGCGTGCCTCTCACGAAACCTGGCTCGCGGTAACCGAGGGAAGCAGGCGAGAAGCGAGCTCTCTAATTATCGTTGACGTCACCCTTCTTCTCTGTCAACGACGTTGTGCACTAATTCGTGTAGTAGCGAGCAATGCTGGTCACCTGAGGGTTGTAGGGGTGAGAGAGAGAGTAGGAATAGAGTGCCCCACGCTCACAAGGGAAATAGGACTCGAGTGAGGAGGAAGGTTCTAGAGAGTCACACGAGCGAAGGAGGAGGGAGTCAGACTTGCGCTCGTTTCTGCGTATGAGAGCCCACCGTCGGTACCAACCTCTCGAGGGGCGTTGTCATCTCAATGGTCTCCACGCGGCTTGCTGACATCTATCCTTGGTGTAGAGATAGTCGAGAGTGGATGTGTGGTTGACACATAGGGGTGGTTGAGGACCAAAGTGAAGGTTGGGCCTCGAGCGGGAGTAAGGTTTTGGAGCAATGCGTGTTTGCGCTCTGAGGCCGACGTTACTCGTCTTGCGACTTTCATCTGTCCTCTGTCATCGACTGCCCCGCGTGCTGCAAATGTGTACCGCTCCTTCGATTGGCCATCGCCGGGCTGCTCACTCGAGATCATCGTCAACCGTTGGTCAACTTTTGTGGAAATAAAGCACTGTGTTACCAGCCATGCCGTGGCATGAATGCGTGGGCCTATGTTGATTGAACATGGTTATTGCAGAGGGTTTAGGCCCCCATAAGACAGGATTTAGAATCAGAGCTCCAGACGTGAGGACGTGCATGTAGCGTGACACTCTATGCTGGCTTCAAGTCTTTGTCAGGAAGCTTCTTGCCGCATTGCCGTAACTAAGTGAGCAATGAGGTCTCCGAGGGTCATTTACGGGAGACCTGTATAATGAATAAAGAATAAAGTTGGCGTTATCAACAACTTGAGTTTTCGCGTTACCCCTCCTTATGACGGGTCTAGTGATTGCCTTACCATGAGCGACGGTATGCAGCGAGTAGCTTGTGGGTCTGTGGAAGATGAGAGGACTGACGCCGCCGTTTAAACCATAGATGATATTAAAGCGATCGCAAAGTTGACGTGGTTTGTCTCAATATCCAGTCAGCCTCAGTGCTAAGAAAGGGACTGTTTAGGTTGTGATGATCGACCTCGTCAGAAACCCTTGGCCCGAGCACGACTGGCAGATGCCTAACTCGAGTGTTTGGCATTCAGGAAGAAGAGGAAAACTCCAGTGATCAAACTTGAGTAATTTCTGTTTGATTGATAACGAAGGAGCAAAGGCCCGGACAACAGATAAGGCTCTTATGCCCTTCCTTTTCCTTCTTTCCCTTTTATTTTGGCTGATTAATCTCATTGGCAAAGGCTGATTGACTATTTTGCTGACTGGACCTAACCATCTTGGAAGGTATACCAAAGCAATTAGGCTGTTCTGAAAGTTCAGGTCGTCTGATTAGTAAAGATTGCTGAGTATCTCCCTTTTTATTTCTGGGAAATCTTTCACTTTGCAATAGCGGTTGACTGGAGACGAGCTTGAAACATGCTTATTGAAGATTGTGTACTTGGTCGATGGGTAAGAGGAAGGCTAGTCTAAGATTGATTGCCTATATTCTGGCAAAATATCTGCTTGACGGGGACTAATCCCCGCGTTTACTCATACCGGGTCTGCCTAACGGGAAAGTCTCATCAGGGAAGATCCGTAGTAACATCCAAATGTAGAGTGAAATTACTTTTCTTACTGTAAACGGGGAAATTTTGGCGGAGTTTCTACCCTTCAAATGCAATGATGGGACATGTGTTTAGTCTAACGAGTGCATGGTTTCTACCTTGTTCGATGTAACGTGTAAAGTTCGGAGCAAAAAATACCCCCCCCCCCCAATGAGTACAGATTAAGCGTGAACGTGAATTTCAAGGGTGGTAGTCAAATGATCGAGTTATTTAACTGTTACGCATTTATTTAATTACTCAAATTTGATTATGTAAAAGGGGACTAGCCTGAGTCCTGCTCTGAACGTCGAGACATCCCGAATCATTTCGAGAAATTGGGACCACGTACGTCGTGTGGTTCACCCTCTCATGAGAAAAGTATTACACGCGCAGTGTGTGAATTGAGACTACGACTCACTGTGTTCACGCCGAGTAAGTTGAGAAACAAAGCTTACGACCTCTTAACACTACTCAGGAACAAAGATGGCTGATTAGTCATGTGATATGTACACAGGGTCAATGATTGACACATACTATAGGTATCATTTGAGCAGACACTTTCTTTGTTG